TACATTTAGGACTGTTGAAGAGTTCATGAGTCAGGAGTTGAAGAGCCCTGGAATATACAAATCAAATTAAACCCACAGTGCCATCACCAATGGTCTGCAAAGCACATGCTTATCTCCATATAGTTATTTCAAAATCTATACAAATGGTTCAAAATATCCAGAAAATGGTCACTGTGCAATATGAAGAACGGGTTACAGAAAGCCAATTATCTATCAAAATAATTGGATTATAGTGGCTTTGAGATGGGTAGAAGAACTCAAACCCCTAGCAACAGCTGCCTGATTCCACAGAAGTACTCCAGAGTGTAATGGTCAGTTGGTTAGTAACAGATAATGAAATAGCCAAAGTGAAGAAAAATCCAATGTAAATCCAGAAACCGTATTTGCAGCATATGATACAGGAGTTCAGAATAAAGTTCCATTCAGTTAGCATATTGTGTTTTGTGTTCAGGTTTCTATTTGGACCAACAGTACAGACTTTTCTTTTCAGTCTAGTTGGCACATGACCAACCTTCAAAGTTGAAATATAAAGTTTAATGCTAAACCATTGAAAAATGTTTTTAACAAAAACAAATAATTAAAAATGATGTCATTAACAAGAAATATCTGCCTTTTGAATTATTATGATCATATATTTTATTTATTAGCATTTAATGATATTTTGATCAAAACACCTTCAAAAATCCAATGAACAAATATAATTATTGTCATTAGTAACAATAATTATAATGGATGCAGTTTTAATCTCAAAAGAGCAGTGAGATTTTGTGTGGATTTACAATTTTGTGTAGGTGCCTACAGTTTGCAATTCATTATTACATTTTTATTCATACACTGAACTAAACAAATAATACAGCCTAAAAAATAAATCAATGTCATGTCATTAACAATAAATATCTGCCTTTTGAATTATTATGATCATTAATATTTTATTTATTAGCATTTTATGATATTTTGATCAAAACACCTCTTCAAAAATCCAGATGTATGTACAAATATGATTATTGTCATTAGTAACAATAATTATAATGGATGCAGTTTTAATCTCAAAAGAGCAGTGAGATTTTCTGTGGATTTACAATTTTGTTACATTTTTATTCATACACTGAACTAAACAAATAATACAGCCTAAAAAATAAAACAATACACACGTTTCTTTAAAAACAAACAAAAAAACTCTTTACTTTCGTTACCACTCTGAAACAATTGCAATTGGTTGTTTCACCTGGTTGCTTTCATCATGATTGGCTAATCTGCCTGTCATCCACGAAAGTGGCCAATGACAAAAGTGCGCGCCTTCTTACTGGTCAGGTTTGAAAAATAATAATGTCAAATGGCAGTACAATTTAAATACGTTTAAGATTGTTTAAAAGAATGGTTAAAAAAAATCATTCTTATTAAGGACCCACCCCACTCCAGATTCTCCAAGGATCCAGCTGAAGCCCCGTTCACACTACAAGCGACACGCAACGTCAAAGCAACACGATCCCATTCATTTCAATGGAGAGCTGGTGATGTCCGGCGACACGAGCGACAGAGGCCGTTGGTGACCGGATGGGGCGTGTCCAGCGACGCGACAAAGTTCAGAATCCTTCAACTTTATGCAAATGAAGAGCGACTTTCGGGAGCGACAGCCAATAGGAAAGAAGATGGTAGAGCTCATGTGATCGTTCTCCCCTCAGCCGTAGATAAACATATGCAATGGAAGAAAGTGAATAAGAATGGTGATAACCAAACAGTTCATAGTAGCCATTGACTTCCATACAGTAGTAGGAAAAAAATTACTGTATATGAGTGGAGCTGAGTGGCGCGCACACGCATAGAGCGGGATAATACGCAGAGCGTCACACCACGTGAAAGTGAAACCTGAGCGGTGAACTAATTTTCGGCAGCCGAAATTTCGGTGCATCTCTAATTATTGGCGACTTCAGAAATGGATATTATATAATAGATGATTTTTTTAACATTTTAGATGTTAAAAAAATGATTTTTTACATGGCACCCCTGCTCTCGACAGACAGCACCCCGGTTGGGAAACACTGGTTTAGATCATCAGAAGATGTTTCCCTATGGAAAATGTAGTGAGAGGGAGAACTCTCAGCATGCCATAAGGTCGTAAAGTGTATCTGGTCTAGCAAAAGGTGTCGTGGTTGCCATGGTGACCAGGGGCCTGGTGTCGTTCGCAGACATCCTGGCACCCAGTATGTTCATTGGGTGAGGGGTCTGTGACTATTTGTTAATCTAATGAATAATTGATTTGTTAAATCTAATGAAAACCGGTCTGATTGGTCCATACGCTACAATACCTATTTCTATAACTACTCTTAGTCATTTGTGTACAAGATAAATAATAAAGGAGAGAGGACACATCCTTGACGTGACCCAGTAGATGACACCAGCCATTCCTAAAAACAATCACTTACTTTAACTCTCTGTGTTCTCTGCATAAGTAAATCTAAAATCCATCCTACGAGACTAAAATCCAACCAATTTAATTTCTGAATTGAAATTGAGTGAACTATCCCTTTAATACAATGTATAATTATGATTCTGAATTAAAAGTGTAATGTTTCTCTGAAAATATTATCAGGAATATATGGAGACGCATATATTATCAGAAATTAGAGCTGCACGATTAATCGTTAAAAGATCATAATCTAGATCCAAACCCCATTTACTCTTATTCCTAAATGACAACGATTGTTGTTGTCGCATACTAACACTGTGTCTGCACCAGACGTGACAGTTGTCATGTCGCGCCGCAGCACAACAGCTAAAGTCTGTTTACTAGACGCGACAAAGCGACCGTTGAAAATCATTTAATTATGTGTCAGTACATCATAAATAGAACGAAGCATCAGTTTGCTGTCGGGGATTTATCATGTCGCATCGCATCCAGTGTAGACAGAGTCACTGATTATAATGGGTTCTATTGCATTTAGCCACGCCGTGCTGAGCCTGCGCTGCTCGCGTCTGGTGTCGACATGGTGTAAACAGCCATTTGTTTTAAAAAGCAAACTTAACATCTGTCTTTTTCGAATTCTAATTAGGAGACGACAAGCACACAAAGCTTTGTTCAGGGCTGCTCATACTAACCAAGCAATAAACACCCCTTCCCATGCTTAAAACAAGGTGTCTGCAGATCAGAGTCCGAAACAGTCACTTGTGGGACAACATTGTCATGCACCACTTCACAGTCGATAAGTAGAAAGAGAATTTTAGATTGACACAGCAGTCATTTATTATATTCTTTAATATATTACAACAACATCAGCTCATTTTGAGCATCAAACATCATTTCTACTTCAATACACATGCGCAAAACTTTTCCAGTTCAGTTTTCAATTTGATCAAGTGTTTACATGTTCTATTGAATGGATTAGAAAAGGTTTATCCCACCTGTCTAAAGCAATTGAAATTGTAATAAACAATGAAATTTTTATTTCGATTGAATTGTTTACATGGTAAACATGGTTACACGAAAGCCTCACTGAACAATCGATCTGTGGCCTTGACAACAGATGGATGGACTTCTCTACACACTGACGCATATGTGACAGTCACTGCACATTTTATATCAGATGACTGGGAAATCAAAAACGATGTACTAAAAACAGAAGAGCTGAGAGAAAAGCATACCGCCGAAAATGTGAGTGAATGCATTTAGCAGATTCTTGGGGAATTTGAAATCAAACTGGAGTCTGTGATATCAGTGACTACTGATAATGCTGGGAATTACGTGAAGGCAGTTATTCATAAGCCATATGAAAAGAGTCAACATTCCGTGTTTGGCGCACATGCTAAATCTAGCTGTATGTAAGGGGCTTCGTGGTGTTTGAGCTATCGAAACGGGGACTAGCAAACTCAAGATGACCGCTGCCCATTTCAGCAAGTCAGCTGTTGATAGCTACCTGCTCGAGAAGAAACAAAAACTGCTTGAAGTTAAATCTGACAAACTCATCAATGGAACAGCACATATGACATGATTGCTCGAGCCCTGGAGCAGCAAGCACCTGTGGCCGCTGTCTTCATGTCAATGCACCTACTGATCCAGACAGAGAGGGCAGATGGCATGCATAGGTATTAAACAGTGTCACAAAGTTTTTCAACAACACTTATCATTGTTGTTGTTGTTTTTTCTCTGTTAGAATTATTCAGATGATCACAGAAGTACTGGGATAAAAGTTTAGTTTGGATATAAACACTGATGTCTACAGTAGCGATCAAAATAGAGCAAATAATTTGAAACAAAGTTGACACTCCAGATAAAGATTATATCAGTGACGTTACACCAGAAGTTGCCGACAAATGACTGTTAAACAAATGTATTTGTCATTGAATCATTCAAGAGATTCATTAAAAAACCCTGATTCATCCAGTAATGAAACAAGTTAAGTATGTATTAATGAGTCATTTAATCGTTGTCTGTTCAGAATCGTGATGTCTGTTTGAAACTAAAAAAAAATTGGGATTCTCTATGTATCCAGAATCATGCAGCTCTAACTTAAGTAATTAAAACTGTGACTTTTAAAGGAATAGTTGACAAAAACAAAACAAAATCTGTCATTTACTCACCCTCAAGTTGCTTGAAACTTCATTATTCTGCTCAGCACAAAAGAAGATATTTTGAGGAATTTTTGTAACCAAACTGTTGTGGGGTACCATTGACTTCATATTATTTTGTCAATGGTGCCTCACAAAAAAAACAAAAAACTTTATTATGCATTATTTATTATGCATTATTTTGTCTTCCCAGCTTTACTTTTTCTCAGCGGCAGAGCGAGAACTCTTGATGGAGGGCTGTGGCGAGTTCCAAAATCTAATAAAAACGCCAGGGACTACATAACACACCCACACTTTTACATGTTGCCATGCAAGTGGCGGCTGAAGCATGTGCTGTAAGTGGACTTGTAATTAATTTTTTGCTGTTGTTCAATAGTGAAATATCAATAGTGAAGACAGTGTATCACATTGTCATGCCATTTATTTTCATTGCACAAGACAGCAAAGAGACCCTCTCGGATGAGTGTCCTTTGGAGGAAGTACCTGTAAGTGCATAACTACACACTATATAATACACACTATACATTTGTATCAACTAAAGTACTTTCTATTTTTGACAGCAATATGAGTTGCAGGAGTCTGCACAGAGAAGTGATACAGAGGTGGACAGTGTTGCATATCAGTTTGTCTTTTTTCTCATTTTATTTATTTTTTTTGTTTGTGGCATGTGTAAATGGCACAGGGTGACATCCGTTCCCTCTATAAACGTAGCCTGCAGCATAAGGTTGAATATTTGGAAGTAAAAAAACAAAAACTGAGGGGACAAATAGAGCTCCAACAGCTAATGAAGAAGAAAATTGCACTAGGAATAGAGTTGCTGCAACAGGAACTTCAGAGTAAATAGTAAAACACCATTTGACACCGAGCACTACTGTTGACCTTGCATAACAATATCTGTCTTTGCAGGCAAACGAACTGGTGTGCCACTAGGTTGGTCCAAGTGCACTGGCTGGAGGTCATCATCAGGCTGCACCTCCACCACCGGGGTCCTCTCCTTTCTGATGGTGGCAATGTTGTGTAATACAGCACATGCCACAATGTTGCATGCCCTGTCAGGTGCAACCCTCAGACACTGAAACCTTCCCTTTAGTTGCCCAAAAGGTCATTTCAATGCGTGCCGTTGTCCTGGCTAGAGCTGCATTGTAACGGGTTTGGGGTCCAGGGTTGGGGTCATGAAGTAATGCCTGCAGGCATAGCTCCTGTCTCCGACCAGGATCCCGTCCTAATCACCTGTACAATGGTAAAATGCAGTTCTGTTAGGCCCAGAAAAAATCCTGGCATGGCTCAGACTTAGTTCTCCATCTTGTTACACCTGTATATTGAAATGAGGAGCATAAAAATAGCATTATTACAAACATAAACATTCAGACATGGCAACTGAGAAATTTAATGGTATGGCACCATTTTAAACCTCTTTAATCAAATACGTAAAAAAAAATACATACTGTCAAGCCAGCAGAAGTGTGCCCTCTTTCGAAATGAGTCTGTTTGGAACAAACCAAAGACCGCTTAAACAATGCAGCGTCACCCTCCTCCGGGACCACGTGAAGAAGAACTTCCCACAGGACAGCATCTGGCAACTATTGGGTATTATAAACAAACATCACGGCCTAACCTCCCTTAAAACTGAATGTGCATCCTATGGGAGCAGGGAATACCTAAAACATTTATAAGGCATTTGCCATAAAGCTGCTACAGTATAATAGTTAGTGAGGATAAAGACTGTCAGTCTCTGCTTCTGTCATATTGAATGTGCTACTACCATCAAGATTGCGATGTTCTGCACTTCTTTCTCCTCCTCGTTGAATGCTTCCAACATCCTCAAGTCATCCGCAATGGCGTGACCTCTGCGTCAGCTCATCAGCCTTCACGGGAAGTTGCTAAAGGCAACAGCAGCCGGTGAACAAACTGACTTACTCTTCTTCTTCTTCTTCTTCTTGGCTTTTAACGGCGGCTGGCAACCAGCGTAATTAGGTGCATTACCGCCACCTTCTGCTCCGGAGTGTGGAACAGAGAGTTACATTCGACACCAGGCAACTGACTTACTCTATGGTGATCGGGCTTATATGTCCGGTTACCTCCAGGCAATAGCGCCCTCAAGCTGCTCCTAGTGGTACTACATTTGACCCAAATACATCGCACTATGAAACCAAGAATAAAAGTGGAGCGAAACTACAACAATAAAACCAAGTACCGTTTTGTCCGTTACAATCTCTTTAATTATTTTTACAGATCTGCCCACGGCAGTGGTGCAAGACAATATTATCGACCTGACTGAGGAGGACAAAGAGGAGGACGAACATAAACCCCGACCAAGCAACGCAAATACACAGAAGCGCCCGAGAGAGTCTGACGCGCCGTCGGTCGCCCCCGAGAGAAAGAAAAGACTAGTTGCGATCGTAACTCCGATCATAACGGTTGAAGACGCAGTTGACGGTAAGATTACCTGTTAACTAAGCAATATTTTTAACTTACATCGTAGATATGACTATGTTCTAGATGTCCGGCTTTTAATTTCAACTCCTTTTGCTCTACAGACGGTGACCGAGAGCGTCTCAATAATGATCAACTTAGGGCCGAGACTCCGGTGAACGAATGGGAAACAGCCAGTTGGACCAGCCACTCGCTTTTCAAGAACCGGTTGATGAAGAATAAACTGAATCGTTGCCAGACTACCGACAGAACGACAATGTGAATGAAAGATTTGATGCTTTGCACGAAGAGTTGATTAACAGACAGGACGCTTTTTTCAACGACCTTCTCAACAGGCAGGACTCTATGCATGAAGAGCTGATTAACAGGCAGGCCGCTTTCTTCAACAAACTTATTAACCGAATGGACGCCCAGGACGTGAGGGGTCACGAACAATAAGGTAATTTAAATCAGTAGCATTAATCGTCAGAGAATCATTTGCACAGCTTGCAAACGGGGGTGGCTGAAAATTTTGCTGTTGATCACGTTTACGTGAGCAATTGACGGTGAGACGTCAGGATGATGAGTAGTCTTTCTAGTCTAAACGATGCTCTACAGCCATGATAGATGACACGATGCGATTGTTTTTCAATATAATTTAGTTTTGTAACAGATTTTTCCTTGTTCTTATTTTTTCACCTTGTGTCTGAATTTAGTTTTTTTGCAGATTTTTGTATTTCTGAATTTAGTTTTGTTGCAGATTTTTCCATGTTCTGATTTTTTCACCTTGTGTCTGAATTTAGTTTTGTTTCAGATTTTTGTATTTCTGAATTTAGTTTTGTTACATATTTTTCCATGTTCTGATTTTACACTACGTTTTAATAATTCTGTTAACATGTTTGTTAACATCATTATAATTTTGTATTTTCAAATTGGTCACTTTTGTTGTTTCTAAATAAATTTAAAAATGGATGCTGAGAATTCGCATAGCCGTCATTCAGACCAATCTCTCTCAGACCTGTTACAGAACGCTATTGAAATGCACACAGAGACGTCCCATAACTTGTGCGACATATTACAATGATTGTTAGATCAGTATCCAAATTATAATACAGAAATGCCATTTAATATTGATCACAACCAAAATGCTTATGATTTGCAGTGATTAGAATCTGCAATAGAACAAAGTCTAAACGTTGATTTGGGCATTCTGTTGCAGACCGCGATAAATAGACACGACCAACAGTTAAGCCAAAACGTTGCACAGAACGGAGGTACGTTAACCGTTTCTGACCATATCACTGATCCGTCCGACAACACTATGCATTAGCCAGCACCCCCTACAGGTAATGTCAACGATGCTCCTTCCGGTAATAACGACGCTGAGCGACTGTCGACTTCCCGCTAAACGGTCGTAGACGGATATCACGTAACACCTACGCCCCGATTTAACAGTGTGGAATTGCGAAGGACTATGAATATGCGTGAAATAAGGTCTACGGATTTAGCATCCTATCACATATTATTACACGAAAAAATTGAGGAGATAGCATCGTTTTATAGAACTATTGGCGGGGACTCTAGCGTGATTAATTTAACGATGAATGTGAAAGCTTGAAATCACCCATTAACACCGTTTTAATGCCTGGTAATAATTACGACATTAATCTTTTCGATCAGTTATTGTACAACGACACGGTCGAGATCGAAGTCGACGTGGCCATGAACAGACAAGGACGAGGGGGTCAGAGGCGTAAACTAACAGAAGGCTAACCATGAAGGCTAAAGGGTATAATGCTGAACGCTAGAAATTCCCTAGCTGTCCGTTTTGATTCCCTGATTGGTCTGGTTAACGGTTATGTGACGTCTCACAACGATACACAATACATCCTGGCTCGTGCTGAAAACATCGTGAGGGATAAAAAGCATCTCACGCTGCACAACATCTAAGTTGACAAAAGGTTCAAAGTGGTATATAATAAGGGATGCTTCAGAGTTTGACTTTAGATTCCAGCACCCTTTTTCTTGTGTGATACGTGGGCCATCCAATAGTGGCAAGAGCTATTTTGTAAAACGACTGATGGAAAATGGTCTAAATATGATTTCTAAAAAAATTGAAAACATTGTTTATATTTACAACTGTTGCCAACCTCTGTATGATGACCTGCTTAAATTGTATGACATTAAATTTGCTGAAGGAATACCGACATCTCTGAATGATGATCTTTTACTACCTCCCAACAAAGCTAATCTTCTGATTTTGGACGATATGATGAGCAAAGCTAGTGGAAATCAGAATCAGAATCAGAATGAGCTTTATTGCCAGGTATGTTTACACATACGAGGAATTTGTTTTCATGACAGAAGCTTCCACCCCGTGTAACAGAATGACAGTGACAGAACAAAAAACACAGATAATAAAAAAAATAAAATAAATAGAACAAGTAAATAAGGAATAAAAATATATAAATTGACAATTGTATGTGCAGGTATATTACAATAGACAGTTTTGTATGTACAGGTACTGTATATTATGTGCAAATTTGAGGTGTAGACTGAGTATGAGTGTTAGATAAATAAGTGTATGAGTGTATAAATAGTGTGTGTTCCACAGTTATTGTTAAGTGTTCATGAGATGGATTGCCTGAGGGAAGAAACTGTTCCTGTGTCTGGTCGTTCTGGTGCTCAGTGCTCTGTAGCGTCGACCAGATGGCCAGGATTTCAGACAGACTGGTCTAACACAGTCTAGGCCTGGTGCTTTTTTCCTTTTATGCTTCCGGAAGACCTGGCGCACCTCGTCTTCACTGATATGAATTGCAGGTGTGGGGGAGAGGGGGTTGCTGGAGGTGTGAATGTCAAGTCAAGTCAAGTCACCTTTATTTATATAGCGCTTTTAACAATACAGATTGTGTC